AAAAAAAATAAAGATTAATTGTTTTGTCACAAGAAATAAATAAATAAGTCTGCCATCTTAACCTTTTGTTTTTTTTTTATGTTTATTAAAAACAACAGATGTTGATGTTGATAATGAACAAATTCGGTTGCCTTTTCTGTTCATTCTGCCGTTGTTGATACTGTCCTCTCCAACCAGAAGATTAATTTTGAGCTTAACAGGAACCCTGCAAGCAGAACTCAATTCCCTATCCAGAACGCTTTTGGTCTAACAGTCCACAAGACACAAGGGTTAACCTTTCCAAGTATATCTGTCTGCCTTGACCAACAGATATTTGCTTCTGGACAGGCTTATGTTGCTCTCAGTCATTGTGCCAAATGGGAAGATCTCAGAATTAACTCTCTTTCAAGGGAGGCGTTCATGGTTGATCAATTGATGGTTAGGGAGTATGCTCGGCTGGAAGAAATTGCTGCAAAATCATTGTCTATTAACAACAATTCATAATGATAAAATGAACATTTGTCTTTATCTTTTTTTTTTTTATAAAATCATTATTATTATATACATACACACGCATTCAAAAAAATTATTTTTTTTATTTTTTTTTCTGATGTTGTGGACGTGGTAAATAAATAACTTAATATTAATATATATATATATGGTATATAATAATAATTGGGCGACGTTAGTCGCCCCACAGATGCAATTGCTAGTTTATTTTAATAATATTGAAACATACAACTTTAGCAGAAACCGAAAATCAAGATATAATTAACAAATTTCAATTTTTTAAAAAAAGAATCGACCTCCTCTATATTATCAATCCATATGTAAATTATTTATTTATTTATTTATATTTATATTTTGTTGTATATATAAATAAAAATTTATCATGATACGATTTAGTTGAAGTTGACACAGAAGAAATAGATTTTACAAATGAGGCAACCATAAAGTTAGCAGAGAGTAAAGAAACATTTGAAATTAATTATAATGAACAAAATGGGGTTAGTGCGTGTGTATTTATTTATTTATTTATCTATGTACTTGCATTGAATTTTAGGCAGAGTATCCACTAAAATTAACAGGACATTTGGTTGAAGATCGTCATAATAATAATACTTATGATCCAGAAGCCATTATAAAATGTTTAATGATTTTTGATGAGGAAACAAACGTAAATATTTTTTTTATTTAATTAATATTAATATTAATAATTGAAAAAAAATTTTTAACATTTTATTTTTGAATTTAGACATGGTCATTAGAAATTGTGAAATCTAGTTATCATGTTAATACAGGTGAATTTGATAATTTTGAAACATCTAGTGAACTGCAAGAATTTGCTATAAAATTTGGCGAAATGGTTGAAGAAAATTACAATGCTGATGTTGATGTTCATAATAATAATGACAATGATAATGATATGGAAATGGATGAAGATGATGATAATCCATGGGGGAAGGATTATTTAGAAGTACTAGAACCTAATACAATACAAAAAATAAGACACCTACAAAACGATGATGACAATGATGACGACAACAATGACAATGACAATGATGACAACAGTACAAGAAATAATTCATCAGATTCAGCTTCATCTGATGATAGTAGTAGTAATGATAGTTCATCTGAAAATGGTAATGACAAGGATGATTCAGATTCTGGGGAATTGACATTGAATCCTGAATTTGTTGAACTCGCATCAATGATGAAAACTTCATTGAGTCAAGAAAATGGAATCAATAACTTAAATCATACTAGGTAAGTTAATAAATCTTGTACATGTAGATATGAATGATATAGCATATATACCTATTAGTTAATTAGTCAATCAATCATCTGTTGTTTGTTTGTTTTAGTTGAATGTTGCAGCAAATCATAATTCATGTCCTATGTCATTAGAACAATATTTGAGTGGTGGAGGTATTTGTTATTATAGTGTTTATTTATTCCATGTTTATGAATTAATTATTTAATTAAATGAAATTTTTGACATTTCTTTTAATTGAATAAACAAATGATAGGCAATAATCCTCATGAAGAAAAAGAAGAAGAAGATGATGAAAATGGTTCCTTGTCATAAATAATAATTAACTTTTTTTTTTTGGAGGGTTGGGATGATAAAACAAACATTTCTTTTTTGGAAATAATGAGATGGATAATTGTATTTCATTTTTCCAATATTTAATATTTATAGAAACCTTAGATAATTTTTAAAATAATCCTGTGATGATGATCAATTGATCATTTGTCATGCTAATCAATAATAAGTAAAAAAGTACATTTACATAGATTATTTTTATTTGATCATTG